TTCTCCAATTATTAAAATCTTTAATTATTTCATAAAATATTTTACAAGTGGTACTAAAAATATAATGATTTTGATACCAATTTTATACAAAAATATATTCATTTTTCTGATTTTCAGGTGCTTTTAATTATTGAAAACATTTGTTTAAGTGTTTATTATTATAGCGAAGAGAAAGGATATATGGTTGAGATATAGCCCTGAAAATGAGTTCAAAACACACAGTATTATCAATAAATTTTACTGAATATTAAATCACATACAATCCTATGATATCTGTAAACACATCCCATATTAGGTCATTTTACAAGTGTATTTGCATTTATATTATAGTCATTCAAACCTGTTATAAGAGGTTTTGGATGAAATTTTGCACTTTTACACAACTTTTATTTTTTAATTCAATTTTTGAATCAAATATATTTCACCCAAATATTGATAATTTATTACAAACATTGCATAATTAGATATTAAAGCATATGCTAAACATTTAAATCTATATAAATCACTATTTATATATTTAATTTGATAATAAATCACTCAATAATGGATATTTAGATAAAAATAATCAGTTTTAAGTGTTGGCACAACTTTTTTAAAGACTTTCAAAACTTTTTAAAAAGTTTTAAATTACATGTAATTTAATAGAAATACGATAAAGTATTGTCTCAATTGTTTAGTCTATTTAATAATGGCTTCAAATATCAACGAAGACCTCAACTGCTATATTGTCTACTGAATTGAGTCATCATTATATGGTCTGAGGAAGAATATCCAGAGATGTTCCTAATGTGCGTTAAATACACTTTCAAATCATACGCTTATTGTATGGATGGATAACACTAACAAAATTAGTAAATGTGCACAAATGTAATGCTATTTTCATGATTGTCAATTATCATGACATGTAATGCATACCAATAAATAGTACAAAATTAGTACCAATTTATAAATTATTATCCAAATTAAGGCATTAAATAATAGACTGGAAATGTATTGAATGGGCGATTGTATTGACAATCGATGGCATATTATAGCCACTGAAATGCAGTGAAGTCTACATTACATTACAAACCAAATGCTGTTTATTATTGTTTTGAACAAAATGTCAATAAAAGCGCTCAAAATCTAACTCTTTTGATGTCTTCAGACAAATAATGACCGCAACTCTTATCTTAACCATCAATTGATCACTACTTAGAGGACATATAGACTGTGGCCATAATGTCTGCCAATGAGTTCAACATTCATAACGATGTCAACCAATTGATGAAACTATTGGAGTAATTATCACACCATTTGGTCGCTCAAGACATTTGCCATATAATTGTGATTTGATTTGTGTCTTGAATGTCAGGATCGAGGAGAGCGTCATCGATGGCGTGACCGCCGACTCTATCGCCGAGGCTTTGGCCAAAAGTGTGGACCAGAAGTCGAAAACTCGCGGCGCGAAAGACACGTTTGTCCGCAGTCTGGAGGCGAAGAGCGATCCCGACTTCCGCAACAAATACGAAGACTTGAAGATTCATAAGTATGGCTCTCATTGTCTTCATTGTCTTCTCCATCATTTGGTGTCCAATTTATTGATTATTATGTCTTATAGTGTCATAGAATTGGATCCATTGGTCCATCTCTTAGCCCGTGTTCACGACGAGAACAAAGTATGTCATCGATTGTCGTGTTATTTGTTTAATCACTAATTGTCTCTCTTTTTGGTTTTAATTACAGATCAAGTTTTTATTGAAATTACAGACCAAATCCAAGAGATCGAAGCACAGGTCACCAACTGATCAAACAGATGCCATATCGCCATCACATCCATCGACTTCTTCGGGCGATCGCCACCCGTTTTACTCAACAATGAATCAGCGAATGTCCGCTTTGGATGTCAACGAATTAAGGGATGAATTGTCTGACAATCGGAATGTATTCACAAAAGCGAATAAAGAGTTGTCCGCTAAGAAGAAGGATAAGCGTAAGTCTTCCGACTGGAAATTCCTGACATTTGATTATCAATTCAATGATTGGTCACAAGAGGAGACAATAAGGCCTTTAAACACACTGTCAGTCGCCGAACAGGAGTCCGCTCTTATCGAAGACCTGCTTTTTGTATTGATTGTAAGACTGAGGGAAATGTTGTTTTCAATTGGATTAATGAATAGAATGTATGTTTAAATACAGGGAATTGAAGGCAAATATATACGTTTGCAACCCTTGAAAGACAAACCCAATAAACACGACATTATTGTCGATAAAACTGGTGACGAACTGCTCTACACTCTGGCCGCTCGCGTAACCGCATTGTGTCCATACTTTTCGCAAATCATTCACTTCATTGACACCATTGATACCGGTTTAGTGAATCAGTCACTCGTGGCAGCGATGAGGGCGCAGATCAAAGACTTTTTCACGTTAATCAGTCAACTCGAGACTCAACACCGAAAGAATGATCTGACGCTCCAGAAGATGTGGTATTATCTTCAGCCGAGTTTCACAAACTTAGCTATACTTAAAGACATCGCCAGTAAAGTGTCAAAGGTTTGCCTCATTTGCGGCAAATTTATGGTTAATTGTAATGATTTGATGCCATTTACAGAGCAATTCGATCGGTGGCGCGGCTCTCAGTATTCTTCACGAAAAGACCATATCATTGACCGGTAATACAAAGGCTCAGGAGTTTTGTTTGGCGCTAACAAAGAAAGCGAGTGAACCATACTTTGAAATACTCGAGACTTGGATTTATGAGGGAATTATAGACGACCCGTACAAAGAGTTCTTAGTGGAGGACAGAGCCAACGAAAGCGATGAAATAGTTCTCGACGAGTATGTCTTCAAATATATTGTTTGATTTGTTTGTAAATAAAATTGTCTTTCAGTCTGTTTTGGGAGAATCGTTACGAAGTGGTCAGATCTCGAATCCCCGTATTCTTTGAACGCCATTCAGATATGATTATGAAAACCGGGAAATACTTAAGTGTTATCCGAAACTGTGGCCGAAAGATATCGCGACCGCATTCTCCCGAACCCCTCGCCTATACCACTGAAGAAAGAGCTTATATCGAGAACATTGAGAGCGCCTATAAGTTTGCGTCTAAAGAATTGCTGCATCTGTTAGTCGACGAATCGGATTTGATTGGAAGACTCAAATCAATTAAACATTACTTTTTCATGGATTTGGGAGACTTTATCGTACAGTTCATGGATTTGGCGGGCGATGAGCTCGAGAAGGAGATCGACGACATCGCTCTAAACAGATTAGATTCATTATTAGAGTTGTCTCTCCGCACAAGTCTTATGAATTCAGACGTTTATAAAGACGACGTTCGCATAGAGTTATTGCCCGATTCATTGCACTCACAAATGGTGCAAATTCTTAATATTGGCGTCAATTGCATCAAAGACCCGAACCTATCGATAGCAGAGCCATATGTATTGAAAGGCGCCGAAGCTCTTGCACTGGACTTCCAAGTTCCGTGGCCTCTGTCTCTTATCATTAGCCGCAAAAACATTACTTGTTATCAAATGCTATTCCGACACTTGTTTTACTGCAAATACGTTGAGAGACAGTTAGAGGAGGTGTGGAAAGGGAACAAAATCGCCAAACGTTACACATTGAATGCGGTCACCGGTTATGGACAGGCATTCGCTTTGCGCCAAAAAATGTTGAATTTTGTTCAAAACCTCGAGTACTATATAATGCTGGAAGTGATTGAACCGACGTTTCACCAGTTCTTAGAGTACGTCCAGACGAAGGTGTCGAGTGTCGACGATATGATGAAATCGCACGAAGACTACATCCAGAAGTGTTTGCGCGACGCTATGCTTACATCTGGCGAACTGTTGAGAGCTATCGTTCAGTTACTCAGACTTTGTAT